GTTTATGCTCTCTGTATGTGTGTATATATAGTTCCTCAATATATGTTCCATTCTATATGCATCCGAAAAAGTGGGCTGTAGTCCACGAAAGCTTATGCTCTAATAAATTTGTTAGTCTCTAAGGTGCCACAAGTACTCCTGTTCTTCTTTTTGCGGATACAGACTAACACGGCTGCTACTCTGAAACCTTTCACCTCCAGGTTACTTGATTCAGATGCAACTCAGTGGGGTGGGATGGTTAAGTAGTAGAGCGAAGGATTCTGCAACACCCCGGGAGCTCCTTTTAGGGAGTGCTGGAGTGGGTAAGAATATCTGTTTTGTAGAAATGAGAGAAATAGAAATTAAACAAAAGTGAAATTGATTCTTTACTCCTTTAGTTTCTCTTTATACAAAACAGCAAATTTCAAAAAAGCTTCTCATATTCCCACTTCAAATGGGCATCATGTTAGGACTGAAAAGCACCTTCACCATACACGTTTGAAGGCACTCTTGAATGTCCGGGCTGTGGCAGAGTCTGAAGCTGAAACAAGGCTAAGGTTTGGTACCATATATATTGGATGTGTTCAGTAGAGACAAGAATTTAAAGCTAGTTTTAACACCGTCTGACTTCCACATTTCAAACCCTTTTAGTGACACCACTAATGAGTTTGTGCTCACAGATGAGATGTTCTGGCTGGAAAGAAGAATCACAGTTTATACCTTCCATTGATTGTTTCATCCCCTACATACGATTTGCACCAGGAAACGGCTCTGAAATCAATACTCATACAGTAGACTCAGCACATGGAAATATTATTGCAGTTTTAAAGGTTATAGCAACTTCACATTTTTCACCAAGTTCTCATTTCTACATTAATTTTCACTTCCAAGTTTGCTCCTTTTGACTCTCTTTAGCTTCCCAATAAGATTCATAGCAAAAAACAGGAGGAGGTGGCATTTGAAATTAACTTTGCTCAGCCACATGCATTTTCAATGGTTGGTTTCCCCTTTCAGAGTAGAGGATGCCAGGAAAATGGTGGATATTGATTGGAGGTTTTCTTATTTCATATCTTGCAAAAGCACACAGAGGAAGAGATCCCAGCACCCCTCCTGGCACATCCAAAGCTGTTGAGCTCAGCTCTGACACTAGCTCTGCTATCAAATAGCTGTGATCTGGAGAATCATTGTGAAGACTGATATGTAGACTAGCACATCAAGCCATTCCTCTTTGCTTCAGAATTCCAGGATTCGGTACAGCCAGCACAATTACCGTTTTTTTCTTTGCTGTTCTGGATATAGGAGTTCAGAAGCAAAGTGGATGCATTAAAGTCTAAATTAAATTATGCTTAGAAAAAGTAGACACTTCCATTTAAGTCATAGTGTCTAATGATTATTAATTAGTTACATCATTTGCTGATTTTCTCTTGTGCACTGACCTCTAAGGGACAAATTCCACTCACATCTGTAAAGGTGCAACTCCCATTGATTTCATTTGTAGAGCTAAGAGAAGGATATGTCCCTAAAATAGATTTTTTTTTCACCGTAAGGGTACCTGCTCACAATGTAGGTTCTCTACAGACAGACAGTATAGAACCTACACAGAAGGCAGAGGAGTGGAAGAACATTGTAATGCATCTTTAATATTTATTTTTGCCTATTCAAATTTTCATGGCCTCCAAATGTTGAGTTCAGAAAGGAAGAGTCAGAAATTCTCCAGTACTTGTCTGAGTGAACCGAGATGCATAAGTGAGCTCTGCTGCAGGCCTTGGTGGGTCTGAGCCAATGTTTACTGAATTATGTTCCGTTCTTAGGCAGCTGTTAAATATTCCAAAGGACAAACAGTTTCATATTTGGGGGCAGGGGAAGGAGAAAGGGTGTGATGTTGTACAAAGCCCATGCAATGCCCCTGTGAAATCAAGACAAATCGATGGGTCTGATCACTGCACAGAATCTCTCTCTATTTCAGCTGAAGTGCCAAGCATCGCCCTCCTAGTAACTGTTGAATTAACTGATCAATTAGGCCAATCACAAACGAGACAGTAACTTCTCCTACCCAACGCACACACTTCGGTGTGCATTTCATTACAGTGAAAAGTGCACGGAGGTCCAGTATTGTTACAAATGTGGAGAAGCTGCCCATCACCGTAGCATCTGAGGTCACTCTAGATGACTTATATTAAAACCAAAATCCATTTACCAAGTATGAGGAGTAATATATCATGTTCCATCACAGCACTGCAACACTAAAAGACTGACATACTTACAGTTAATGCACGGGGCAAGCACTCGGGAGATCAGGCTTCAATTCCCAGCTCTGCCACAGACTCCCTATCTGACCCTGGGCAAAGCCTTTAATCTCTTTGGGACTCTGTTTCCCAGTCACTAAATTGCAGGTAATAACCCTGCCCTATCTGACTCATAATGTTCACGAATGTGTGTGAGGTGTTCAGCTACTGAGGTGAGGGACCCATAGAATTGCCTAGCTAGAGAGACCAGGCCTGTCGGCAGAGTTCTGAGCACTCTAGACCTGGCCATTACCAAGAAGCCTGGACAAAGTGCTCTGACAATGTTTCCTGAACCTGCCCAGACTCATGCTCAGATGCATTTCTCACTGAAGTGAATTCTGGAGGTGGGGACCTCCTGCCGAGAGTGCTCTGCTCTCTCAAGCTTCATTTTGGGGGATAGTTATCTTGGGCATTGCAGACAAATGCAGTTGGCCTGGCAGGTCAGAGAGGCAGAGACACAGTCTCGAAAGAAATCACCTGTCATAAGCCATCACTTTACAGCATCCCCAAGGTTTTCCGTACAATTTTGTTTGACCTTTAGTTAGAGATACACTTCTATTAGGCAACCAATTTTTGTCAGCCCTTTGGAGAAACTTCCTTAAGACACGTTTGAGTCTATAGCATTTAGCTTGAGAGAGGCCTCAAGTTAGCCAGTCAAGCTGAGAAATATCAGGTTGTTTAAAAGCAAACGCAAAGATGTACCGTGTATAACAGGGGAACTCCCTGCGGGGTACTGACTCATGGCCTGCAGTTATCCCAGATCCGTTCTCCTAGATATGTGCTAGATGCCCAGTTTTAAAGTTAGTCTTCTGTTAGTCTTAAAGGTGCCACAGGACCCTCTGTTGCTTTTTACAGTTTTAAAGTGAAGTTTATAATATCAAAACAACTAGGTTCAGTCTCCTTCCTGGGATTTAAATTTATGACCTTTCCACCTACCTTTTTATTGCACTTGCTGTCCTCCTGTGTTTACTTGGAATGATCCATGCTGAGGAAGATCGATGGAGAGCGTGATAGCCCACTGATTCTAAACAGAGACACAGACACTTGTACTGGCTTCACCATCACCTCACAATTTACAGTGGGTTTTCTAAGCACTCTCAGCCTGAAGAACAGAAATGTTTGTTTGTTAGAAGAAAGATATGCCATGAAGACACCTTCCATTGCATTAGATACAGTCTAGAGTCATATTTGTTTCTATTTGGACAACTACATGGATAGGTCAAAATATGGAGTATTGTATGTGCCATATTTTATAAGATAGATAATGATCTTTTTGGTGGTAGCTTTAAAAAGACTCCTTTATTGATAGACATCGGACACTAGCAGGGTCAGGGGAAGTGGGGACAATGCTTCCCTTCTAAGCAAATATGCCACTGCTGGGTCTGAGCTGTCTCCTTATTTTATCTCCTGCTGTCCCTCTGTAATGCAAACAATAAACAGATGAAATTTTAATGCACCCTGACAAGCCATAATGCTTCAGAACTACTTAGGAACTTCAGAGCATGTAAAAGCCGTGTCTGAAAGGAAAGAGTGAAGACTTTGGTTGACGTTTTCAAAGCAGTCTTTGTGATTCAGACACATGACCCATTAGAATTACTGGAATTAATGGAAGACCTGTCTCTAAATCCCCTAGATTGTTTAAAAAAATCTCAACCTCTGAGATAATTCCTGTCCAACATATACTATATGCAAGCTGTGTAGAGACCAATGCATATGTGCATGACGTATAGACACACATGCATAATATGACCTACACACAGGAGCACCGCCAGCTTTTTTGCTGCCCTAGGCGGCGGAAGGTCTCACCCCTGAAATGGCGACGATGACCGGGGCAGCCGAAGATCCGGCCGCCGCCCCCGAAATATTAGCGCCCTAGGCGACTGCCTAGGTCGCCTAATGGGTTGCGCCGGCCCTGCCTACACACATAGGCCTAGATAAAAACTTTTCTACCAAAGTTACTTTAAACCTTTCACCCGTGCTTTGTTTCTTATCAGCAGTAACTGTATGTCCTCCACCAGCTCATTTCTCTTGGTCCTCACTGTATCCTTCAGTTTGCTAGGAACTGAACCCAAGAACATCATGAGTGCCTGGGGTTGAATGAACCGAGCTCATTGTGTGCTCAGTACTCAGGAGTGAGTTCCCCATAGCCCTGCTTGCTCACCATGGCTTTGGTTCGGTTTGTACAGTCTGAAATAATAGTGCAGCAAGTTGGTTGCACCTTCCACGGAATCATACCTTGTCTGGCTACTGATCCCACCAGAGAAAATGGCTCTTTCTGAATTCCATTACCCAAATAGTGACCACCTGCTCTATTGTGTACCATGCCAGGTCTAAAGTGGCAAACACTGGCACTCTTAACTCCCTAGTTGTCCTCTGCTTTCCCAGTAAATTGGAATAAGTATGAACACAGTGGGGGGTCTAACTAGCTAGGGGGAATACCTTGAACCTTACGCAGCAGGAACTAATAATTATAGGGGAGTCTGCCCTGCTTGGGAGGCATGGAATGGTATCACAATATCAGAGCAAACATGATGACAGGCTCTGCGTCAGGAGGTTCTCTATGTAAATGCTGTGGTGTTTCTCTAACCTCTTATTGACTTTGGCTTCCAGAATCAATTTTCTTTATTAGCTGATGAATCTCTTCAAAAGACTTTCTGTACTGAATCTAGATAAATTATTTAAGCAGTAAATTGTTTCTACTCCAACTGTGTTACAATGTGGTGATTTAATAGGCTATAGCAGTAGGTTGAGGTTTAGGAACAAGGTCACCCTGAATGGAACATCTGAACATTAATAGGAACACTAATAAATGATACCTAAGGCCAAAAACTGGTGTACATCAGAGGCAATTAATAGGAAACGGGTTTGCAGCAGAATACTCAGATCTGGCAGCACGTCTAAGAGGAAGAAGTCATAGGAGACCATGGCATTAATTATTTATGCAAGTGAGTAACTGTGTTTGAAAGAAGAGTGCAACATTTTAATTGGACAAGACGTGGTATTGTGGTGAATGATTGTACTCTGTCTATTTCATACCTGGTGAAAGCTGAGCTGCCATCCATGTCTTTGGAATGTACCTAATGTATCTGTGTGACCTTGTGCTCTTACCCTGAGACTCCCAGAGAAACAGAATCTAAAGCGTTCCAGTGAAGGGAAGAGGAACATTAGAGCATGGTCAGCAATTCAAGCAACAATAACAATGGTCCTCAAAGACATTAACCACTAACAGTGTCACCCTGCTGTATATCCACATACTCAGGAGAACAGCATACAGGTCTGTCGCATCTTAGGCGCATTTAACATGCGCGATTTCAGCTTTACGCGGTTGGCAAAGAAAAAAAAAGAGAAAAATAACAATTTAAATACTGTTTCTGTAGTGCGGGCGATTCCACCCACTATTACACTCAATGTAATTTTGTCTCAGTGTAAGATGAGACAGACCTGTAGCTTCAAAATGAAGGGGTAGCTACTGGACACAGACACACACGGGATCTCTCATCAGCAGTGATAGTGATATCCATCTATGGGCCTTGTTCTCATTTCATTTATGCCCCGTGATTTATATCCATTGATTTCAGTAGAATTACTCTTCATTTACATGGGTTCCACTTGTCATGGGCTGAGAAGCTTCAGGGCCAAAATTCTAATGTGAGAGAATTCTGCTTCTGAGAGTAATGTTGGCCCAACAGGTCAAAGCATTTGAATCCACCTTGATAGCTCGCAATGGGAAATAATTGCACTAAATGGCAGCTGAAGTGCATGAAGACATAAAAAGGACTGCTAGCTACAGAAACACAGCTATTCGTACCAAGAACATTGTTTTCAGGATTTTAGCACAGAGGTGTGTAATAAAGGACCACCTTCTTTCTCAATAGCCCATTTCGGAGATCAAAAGGCTAATAGATGTTTTCAGCAAAACAAAATACCATGGGGAATTCGATTTTTCCTAACTTGGCATTTGATTCTTTGTAAACTCAAGTTAAACCTCAGATTTAAAGAGGTGTTTTGACTCTATGGAAGGAACACAATAATCCCTCCACACGAGGGTAGAAGTCACTTGAATAAGGGAACTTGATGTCTTGCTTGAGCTTGTCCTTTCCCAAACATGCTGGTCTGTATACATGTGAGACAGGAGCTAACTAAGGGCCTGTTGAATGCATTCTCAAGAGCTGTTCCTGCTCTTGGAAGGCCAATATTTTAACACGAGTCAAACTGGTCTGATTGTAAATGCCCTGGATCTGATTCCGTAGTGTGTAACAATTGCTCCGAGCTGCTTTGGTAGTGCAAGGCAGGCTGAAATGCTGTGCCCACTGCTTTTCAAGATGACCGTTGTTATTTCAATTTTTCTTTGCACTCCACCTGGCTGTTTGCTGTACCCATCGGTTTTCTTACGTCTTCTACTCACAAGGTAAACTCCTCTGTGGTTTTTTTCTGTGATTGTACGGTGCCTAGCACAACGGGCTCCTGGTCTATGAGTGAGAACCCTAGGCACTCCCACAATACAAATATAGCAAGGGCATTCCCAGATGCCATGTCGGGGCAAAAGGCCTGATTCTCATTTGCGCTAAGGACCTTTTACACCACTCAGGCAGTTTAAAGGGACCTTAAAGTGGATGTAACTGGACAGGTCTTTTGTACTGCCAGAGACTAAGTGTAAATGAAAATCAGGCCCCAAGTTTTTTGAGCTGACTAGTTAGTGGCACAGTAAATTGTTGTATAGATGGAGCCTAATTATGTAGGGGAAATAGTGAAACCAACTCTGTGTGAATTGGTGTCAAAAGGACAAAGAAATCAAACTGCAAAAAACCTATTCCCCTGTTTTTTAGTTAACTTCTTTGAGTTCTAGTAACTGAAACCTCTGGATTAAAGCTGAAGGTAGCAGCAATATGCTCCACATAATACAAATGAAGAATGGCCTTTTGGGCTCTTGGGAAATCATTTTTGCGTCCTTAAGCTGGGAGACGTTTGGGCACCTCAGTTTACACAGCCCCTGGGCTCCCTAAGTCTGGAGAGTCTGTGACTGTCTAATTGAGGGAAATGGCAAGTGTGCTCTATGCTCTTCCTAAATGAGTGCTATGCACTTGGCTGAATTTATGATGGCACTTTTGTTTTGCATTTGGGGATTAATGTAAATATATTGACTTGTATATGCAACAGGCCTGCTTCAGAGAACTCCGCTTGCCCTTGGCAGAGGGGATAAGCTGCAGGCAACAATGTTGATTCATTAATTCATTTTTGGCACACTTGTTTTCTCTATCTAGTGAATTACTGTGTTTTTCTCAGACTGAATGACTAATACCTTATTGATTAAAGCATTTAAATATTTACACTTACCTTTCCTGGGTGCCTGTGCCCTTCCTTTTCAATTAACCGTTTCAGATCTCAAATGACATTTTTATTCCTTTCTCTACACAATACAATTATAGACAATCATCTACCTTTTTACATGTAGCTATCATGTCACTACTTAAGGCAATAGTGTGGGCTAGTGGTTAAGAGTGGGAAGCTGGAAGTCAGGAAATCTGTTTTTTATTCACCTCTGTCACTGACTTTTTTTCCCCCTTGGACAAGCCACTTAATATTTCTCTGTCTCCATTTATTAAATGGGGACTGTGATACTTAGGTTGCTCTGCACTTATCAGTTGTGCCAATATAACATTTCACGTAGGGGGTGTGAGTTTTTTACCATTGTAGTTATACCTGTAGAAGCAGTTATTACCAGTGTAAAGGTGACCTACAGTGATGTAATTATTCCCCTTCCCATATGGGAATAGCTATAGCTGGGTAAAGTAACTTTATGCCATTATAATTATATCCATACTAAGATACTAGAACTATACTAGATTAGTTAAAGCAGTTCTACATGCTAGTGTAGATAAGTCCTTATCTACCTTTTCTAAAGCACCTTGAGATTCCTAGATGGAAGGTGGTTTATAAGGCTATTATTATTACAACCAGAGATTATTAATGAATTATTGTGGGTATTATGACACTAGCATAATAATGATTATGTAATCTGGGGCTGAGAGCTCCTGAGAGTGAATTTGGACCATGTGATGGACTGAAACTAAAGGCCCGGGTGACGTTTTAGTGCTCGTTCTA